GCATGATCTATTTGTACTTTTTCTATTAATTATACTGTCTACAAAATAAGAATCACAATATCTTAAAATATTTAAATATTAATTTTTAGGATACTTTACACCTAAGACCGCAGTTTAAGCATATTAAATTCTTAGAATTGTTGTGAGGTGTGACTCTTTTGAATAATTATGATATCTTCTAAATCAACATGTTAAATAAAATATCATGTCAGCTAACAATTTGATGTCTTAAAAATATCATGTCAACATGTTAATAAAGAACCTATCATTCATCTATTTAAATTTTTAAATATTTTTATATCTTTTTCATTTGAGTTCAATTTTATTTAATATTTGTACCTATAAAAGTTTTTTTGGACTTCACATCTTTCGTTTGTATTTCTCAGGTAGTTCACATATATATATATTTTCTAAGTGCTAATTTTTTAAGCTAGGAAACGACTCTAACCCTCCTATCACATCACCTAAAATTATCTTTTTATTTAATGAAGAAATTAATTGAAAGAGATTTCATTACTTTCTCTAAGTATAATATCGCCAACATTTACTTGTACAATCAAAATATCATTTTTTATATGTTTCATAAATAATGTTGTGTCCACCTTTAATCTTTTGAAATTATTTTGTAATAGAAAAGAAAGTAATTTTTAATACCAAGCTCATGGAGCTTCTTTCAGCTCATACAAGGTTTCTTTGGTCCAAAAACATAGTCAACATGATCAAAACTTTCAAACAAGGGTTGTTCTACATATACTTTATCCTTAATTACTTCATTCAGAAACATACTTTTAACATCCATTTGAAATAATTTAAAATTATTTTCACAAGTAGAATTATAATTTCATCAAGCTTACCCAATGGTGCATAAGTTTCTTCATGATCAATTCCTTCTTAGATATAACCTTGAAAAATTAGCCTTAGCTTTTTTATATATATAATTATTATTTATTCATTTAATTTATTTTTTGAAAGCTCACTTTGTTGTAACTACTCTTCGATGATTAGATCTTAGAACTAAATACCAAACATCATTCAATTAGAATCGTTCTAGTTTTTTAATACATAGCATTTATATAATTTGCATCCATGAGTGTATCATCCTCATTTTTAGGTCTGATAAGTAAAGTAATTACCATGTGAATAGTTTTTTAAGAGCTGATATAGTTTTGAACCTATCCTTTAAATTACCTAAGAGATTTATTTTTGGATAACTTTTTGCATAGTTCTAAGTCTTAGGTAAGTCATTACATTTGGGATTAGAAACTAATTGTTGTATTTATTCAGTCTCTTCATTCTCATTTTCTACTAAATGCCCATTTATCCCAATTTCACTTAGAATGATTCTTTGTAACATTAGTTGTTCTATAAATTTTACATGAATAAATTATTCAAGAAAAGTTGTATTTTATTATAATTATATAGGCCTTTGATTTTTCAAAGTATTCAAGGGAGATTTTTTCATTATTCATCTGATCAAATTTTCCTGATTCTTATATCCCATTATTTTGAATAAAACACTCATATCCAAATATTTATAAATAATCTAATTTTGGCTTCCTATTCTGAAGTAATTCAGCCTAAAAACACTCATAGTTCTATTTTCAACATAACATGCTCGCTACTTAATTCAGCCTAAAAATATTCAAAAAGATTACTCTCAACTAGCATGATTCTAGATATATTTAGTAATATCTTATTCTTTCTCTCATCAATTTCAATTTTTTAGGAATTTTTGGAGTTGGGAAGTTATGTAAAATTCCTAATTAAAGAATTTAACATTCTCAAATTTGTTCCATGATCACTCCTAATACTTTTTATCTATAGTTCATTTTAAATTTTCTTTGTGAATTATATATCCATGTATTTAGAGTAATTATCAACTACTGACTAAGTCATAATATTTTTCTCCTATGTTAGTAAGTTTTCTTGGACTGAATAAATTTAAATGAAGAAGTCTAAGTGTTTAGCCAAGGAGAAAGAGTCCTTAGTTTTGAATATTTATCTAGTTTGTTCTCCTCTAGCGTAACTCTCACATGTAGAATCCTCTATGCTCACAAAGTTGTGAATTTCTGTAGCAAAAATTCAGTTTTGACAAGCTCCTAATTATTCTAACATTCACATGTCCAAGTCTTCTTTGCCAACAATACAAGTCCTTTATCTTTTCTAGTCATTGAGATATATAATTTGTATTGGATATTTCTTTAATATCTAAGACAGATATTATTTAATTTATCACTAGTAAAGAATATTTTATTACACATGTCAACTAATACAAGATATTCACATTTATTAAATGTTACTATGTTTTAACCTAGTAAGAACAAAAATAATTTTGACTAAAGTATGATCTTCAAAAATAATATTTTCATTTGCAAGGGAACTTCTTTTTTTATTATCTTATAGTATTACCATTCTTCTATCTATTGACTTGAATGAGGAGAGTCATCCTTGATCTCCAATTATGTCTTAGAGTATTAGCTATCTAAGTGTTCCTATGATAATTTCTTGAAAAATAGTTCAAGTTTTCAGTTTAGACCTAAAGTTTTGTAGGTTTAGTTGTATTACTCTTAGGTACTCGTGTATATATATATATCTAGGATTAAACCCTAATCCTTCATTTCTAAGGGATAATTTTTACTTCCAAGTAACATATCTAATGTCTTTGGACTAACACATAATTTTTCGTAACATGTTTTTCTATTAAAAAAATTTATTTATTATCTTAAGATCATTCTCTTAATGATCTTTTAGTTTAGTATTATGTCTTCTTTTTTGTAGACTTATTTTATAGACTTATTATGTTTGGGTTCAACAAATTTTTCCTTGTATCAATGAATTAATGTCCTATTGAAATTCATTAACCATAGGCAAGGATAATTTTTTAAAGGGTCTTTCCTCATATTCTTATAATTTTAGATATATGGTTTTTTATTTTTTTCGTAATTTAAATTGAATTTTTAAATATTTTATTTCTATTTGTGAGACTTTAAGTTCTTTTTTCACAATAAAATTTTAAATACACAACAATCTATCAAATTCTTCAAGTCATTGTTCTTCAAACATAGAGGAGATGTAAGGATCATATACTTCTGAGGATTTTGCCATTAGGAGTAAATTTTATTTTTCTTTATCTTCTTCGTCTAAGTTAAAATTGTATGTCCTTTGTGTCGCTACCATGGCGTTTTTAGTCATCCATGAGTCATCTTTGAATGATCTAGGTACCCAAACAAATAAACTTATTTTCTTCTTCTTATCAGCTTAGTTAGTCTTATAGATAGAAGATTTATTTCATCTTCATCATTAGAAAATTATATTGATTTGAATGTAATGTTCTTACCTTTTTTAGTAAATATTTATTTCTAGACATTAATCTCATAGGTGAATAAAGAATCAATAATATCATCAAGAAGAATGGTCCATAATTTTTTTGATTCTTCAATCACAACTACTTAGTATCCCAAATCTCAAGTTAATTCGTCACTTGTATAAGTTTTTTCTTAAGCTTTTCATGTCATTTATAATTTCATCAAATCTATGAACTAAATATTTAATAGATTCAATTTTTTATACTCTATAGTAGAATTAGCATTTCATGGGCTATTAAGATCTTCTTCAATGCCACATCAAATCAAACTTTCCATGCTAAAATAAAACATCTTTTTGGGGTATGAGCGCAACAATGCCCTCAACTTCTTCAAACATCTAGTAGCACATCAAATCAAAGAAATGGTTCATCCAACTTCATGGATCATTCTTGAGAAGTGCAAGTAACAAAAGAGAAGATAAAGTTAGAGTATTGATGCCTAATCTAGAAAGAAATGTGAAATGTATCATGTAAAGAGGATTTATTGATCCTACAAATTTTTTAAAGATTTATTTTTTCAAAAAATAGTAGAAACCAAGGAAAATAATTGTTCATAAGTGAACAAACTTATGCTAGTGAAATTAGGTATATCTCTTATTTTTGTATAGTAGTCAACCCAATCAAATAAACTCAACATATGTTGACCGACTTAGTAATAAAAATAATTACATTATTAAAAAAATTACCCTTCATTTTGGAATTATGTATAGCTAACCTTGAGCCCAGTATGGACCTCCTAAGTCTGTCTACCTTCTCTTTTTCTCCACATATATTGAGTCATTTGCCTTTTAGGTCTTGACCTTGTAATGATCAGATTTTTCTATTTACTAAATTGTCAATGCTTTAACTTTTAGTTAATTTCTGGCACTTCCGGTATTCTTGAGAATATCAATAATTTTAAAAATAAATAAATAAATTTTATTAAGAAATGATTATAAATATTGATTGCTCTTCACACGAAAATTTCCTGATAAATAATTTGTAAATAAGACCTCTATTTAACCAATATCATTAGGATTCTAATTTTAGCCTGCATTAATCTATATTAATAAATGTATATAGTTATTTTTTTTATAAATGAATAAATCATTTACGAAATTAATTTAATGCTTGACAAGCATCTCCCCGTTACCAGCTTCAATTTCTTTCCTTTCCCTCTCTCTCTCTCTCTCTCTCGCTCGCTCTCTCGCTCGCCATGGCAGGGGCGGGTGAGTTCGTCCTACGCTGCTACAGCAGCGAAGAAGAGGAGATCGGCGGCGGGTACAGCAGCGAAGAAGAGGAGATCGGCGGCGGGTACAGCAGCGAAGAAGAGGATATTGGCGGCGGCATTGTCAGGTCTGATCATCGCTCTTCTGCATTTGCTCGTGAAGAAGAGGAGATGCGCTTTCATCCCACGCCCCGCGGTTACGCCGGCCCGGATATCTTTATACCTATCTTCTCTCCCCCGATCCCACCATCCTTCACCTTTCGCCGCCCTAAGATGTGGATCTCGTCGGATTCCGACTCTGATTCTGCGTCCGACTATGCAGAGGATCTTGTGGCCTCTGACTTGGATCCGTTTGCCCGTAGTCCCGCGCAGAGCGGCGGCAGCAGTGAGATGGTCCTCTTCAATGGTGATTCCGATCTGATCCCTTCAATGGAGGATTCTGTTTCCGACTTCTCCCCGCTGGAGACGGATCAAGGGCTTTTGCCTTGTATCGAGGAGGAGGATGGAAACGAGGATCGCTCGGACTCGGACGATGCGTTATTTGTCGACGGCAGCAGTGTGGAATCGATGATCGGCGGCGGCGATGGCAGGCTTTCTAGTTCCCTGAATGCCGGAGGATTGCGAACTATGGGATCCAGATCAAATTTGGATACTGATTCTGAGGAAGAGGCCATTTCTGAGATTTGTCCGCATTCTGATGGCGAGTCGGAGCCTGATCGGGTGGCTGACGATCTGGCACCGCCGGTTTTCTGGGACTACCTAAGCATCGACGAAGACGGGAGGAATCCAGGTGAGGATTTTGGCGGGGAAGAGGTCGATGGGATGGAGAGAGAGCTCCTTGATATCGTCATCGGCGACGACGAGTCATATTACGACGGCGAATGGGAGGTGTTCTTGCCTGTGGATCAATTCGAGGGGGAGATTTCAGACGAGCACGAGATCGCCGACTTTCTTGTTGCCGACGCTCAGGAGAGCTTCATCGAAGGAAACCCGCCGGCGGCCAGATCAGCGATCAGGCATCTCCCATCGATTTCCTTGACGGAAACAGATGTGGCCGACAACAACAACCTCTGTGCCGTCTGCAAAGTCGAGATCTCAGTGGACGAGAAGGTGAAGCAGCTACCGTGTCTGCATCATTACCACGCCGAGTGCATCCTGCCATGGTTGAGGATGAGGAACACCTGCCCTCTTTGCCGATTTGAATTGCCGGCGGATGAGCCCGATTTCTTGGATCGGCGGGCACAGCGAGCTGGTAGCACTGGAACATTTCAAGAATCTCGCGTCACGGTAATGGATCTTTCCGTGATGTTGTGGCGAAATTATGAAATCTGCATTGTTCTAGGTTCATCAATCACTAATCCTTTGTTTCTTTTATGATAATTTGGTGACAGTAACAAGATTTTTTTTTCCCGCGTTCTTGGAATGGTTCTGCAGGTGAGACAGGGGCTTCAGGGCTTTGAGCTCTCATCAGCATGGGCAAGGAGATGACTCCATCTTTCAACTAGACCGGCATATATCTCCTCCCTTCACCTTGTTGTCAATGTTTCTTAGCTTTAGAACATGCGAATTTTTCTTAGCAAAGCTTGCCTCATAATCAGGTTTAACAGCTCTTGGAAGATCAATACCAGCGACATCCACATCAAATTCACTCTAAAATCTGAACTTCAGTGATTGAATGCTTTTCAGGCATTCCTTCTACTCCGATAGACTGCGATGCATCTCCCTGCATTTAAGAAACCCATGGAGGGATCTCTTCAGATTCATCACTCATTGGCCGTATCTTTCTGATTTCTACTGAGAAATGAGGACAATAACCTTCTCTCATCCATCAGTTGGCACATTTTGCTTGCTGTGATTCTGCAAGCTCCCCTCCCGGATGAACATGACTGGCATCACTATCAAATGGGTACCTCTGCAGAAGTTGCAGAAGAGAGTAGGCCAGCAATATGGGTTCTTGACCTTACAAGCTGCCATTCTTTACTAAAAAAACCCATGGGAAGTGGATCAGTCTCTCTGCAGGGGGCTTCTGCAAGTAATAAGTTTGCAGATTTTATAAGCAGATGCTTGGAGTTGGAGCGTGGAGATGCCACAGCCGGTAAGAACTCTGGAAAAAATTCATGAACAAATGGAAAATTTTTAGCTCTGGAAATAATTTTTTCTCGCAGCATTTCTCATGCAGCGGTGAATCAATCTAAGCTCATAGATTCCACTCATCTACAATTTTTGTGGCCTATTGAGGTAATCAGAGGGCTGCGATTAGATGTTCTTCAACAGTCCTTTTTAAGTTCAGGGATCAGAGCTTTAGGGTTCGACTGTTTCCTTCCAGGAGACTGTTCATGGGGCTTCATTTGCAGTTCTTTCTTGGGCTCTTAACCCTATAAATTAAAATGATTCATCTCCATTTCTTCTCCCTCATATTCCTGGAACCGTAGAGATTTACACCTGAAAACCATACATGGAGCTATTTCTTAGGGAGGGGAATAGGTTGACCTCCCCATTAGGGCCAGTCTCAGGACGAGTCATCTGGGGATGATCAGCACCACAAGGAGATCATGGTCCGAGTGGGGCCCACTCTGGTTTTGACTTTTGACACGGGGCTCAAGAGCGTTGTAAATCCTCGTTAATTTCCCCATTCCATATGCTCTTCCAGTGAAAAGTACACTTCCTTTAATAGCTTATGTTTCTCCACAATACTTTATTGTTAATATTAGAACAACGCATGCCAAAATAATGCGTGTTACATTATCGAATGGATAATCTTATTCCCTTTTACCCCAAAAATGATCCTATCTTGGGGACTGCGTAATTCTTACTCTCGAACTTTCTTTAACACGGCAGTAATACTCTCCCTCTCCCTCTCCCCCTCTCTCCCTCTCCCCCTCTCTCCCTCTCCCTCTCCCTCTCCCCCTCTCCCTCTCCCTCTCTCTCTCTCTCTCTCTCCCTCTCCTCTCTCTCTCTCTTCTTTCTCCTTCTCTCCCTCTCTCTCTCTCCCTCTCCCTCTTCCTCTCTCTCTCTCTCTCTCTCCCTCTTCCTCTCTCTCTCTCTCTCTCTCCCTCTCTCTCTCTCGTAATCCTGGGCCCGAGGAATAATAAAAAAGGATTTTTTATGAATGACGTCATCATCCCCCCTCCCCCCCCCCTTCTCTCTTCCCCACCACAGAAGCCCAGCCCCCCACCCTCCTCTCCTAGAAGGAGATAATCAGCCACCGTCTCCTCTTCCTCTTCGCCACCGCCGTCGTCCTCGCAGTAGCAGCAGGGGCAGCGGTGGTGCTGCCCGTGGGGGAGATGAACACCGGGAGAATGGCCACCGCCTTCCCCGCCGTCCACCGGCGGCGCCCCCCCGTCGTCGCGGCGATCTTCTCCACCCCAGACGAGGAGCTGGAACGCCGCGGGCTGAGCCTCCGGCGGACGGCGGCGGGGCTGGACATCGAGGCCCTGAACAGCGTCTTCTTCCGTGCGGGCTTCCCCCGGCGAGACCCCGTGAAGATCCGCCGCGCCCTGGAGAACTCGCCGTCGATGGTGTGGCTCGCCGACGGGTCCTCGGGGCGGCCGGTGGCCTTCGCGAGGGCCGCCGGCGACGGCGTGTTCAACGCGGTGGTTTGGGACGTGGCGGTGGACCCGGACTTCCAGGGACTGGGACTGGGGAAGGCTGTGATGGAACGGCTGGTGGAGGATCTGCGCAGCGGAGGGGTCTGCAACATCGCCCTCTACGCCGAACCGAAGGTGGTGGGGTTCTACCGCCCGCTGGGGTTCGCCGCCGACCCCGATGGGATTAAGGGGATGGTCTACGCCCGCAAGCAGCCCCCGCCGCTGCCGCCGGGGGTGATGGAGGGGAGGAAGAGGAAGTAGTAGGGGATGGACGGTTTCTTCTTGTTCTCTCTCTCTCTCTCTCTCTCTCTCTCCTACTGTTTGGCGATAAGGATGGGGGATCACGATTTGTATAAAAAAGGGGGGAAAACCCCTGATGAAAACATTTGGCAGATGGGTTCTCTTCGTGTTCTCCCTCTCTCTCTCTCTCTCTCTCTCTCTCTCTCTCTCTCTGCCTGTCTCCCTCTCTCTCTCTCTCTCTCTCTCTCTCTCTCTCTCTGCCTGTCTCTCTCTCTCTCTCTCTCTCTCTCTCTCTCTCTCTCTCTCTCACACACACACACACACACACACACACACACACACAATAATGTGTGCAATAAAAAGGGGATTATACCCTACAACAAGGGGGTAGAACCTCAAATTGGGATCATGTGGTCTGAGTGAGGGTTATTCTCTTCATGACCTGTATAAACAGCGGTTTTCCTGATTAATTTTTCATATTACCCTTTGAGGGTCACATGTTGGAGAAGCACATTGAAATATGTAACATGAATTCTCTGATCTCTCCCCACCACCTCCCCCAGCAACTCCTTTGGCGCATGTAGTTAGGACATGAGAGGCAAGAAGATCATACCCAAAGCAACCTACTATGGATCAATAGGAATATTGGGAAAAAGATAAAGAATAAAATCACATTGATGCACAAAAACATCAATCAGAAGAACAATGATACTAAATTTTTGGTGTGTTATTAAACATGATCATTCCAATCCAAGTGCATATCAAACATAGAAAACACTTGGAGAAAACTACAGTAAACTTGGTGTGCACTATCAAGACTAATGGTTAATAGCAAGAGATATGATAAATAAAACGGTGTGTCTATCCGTTGGTCTGAGATTTATGATGATAATGAGGCTAACTCGTAAAATTAGAACATCTCACCCAAAAACAAATGTACCCATGTTTTTTTCCTGATATGTAAGTCAGAAAGATGTGTGTCGTGGATTAATTGACAAGGCTTGGTGTAAGTCAAATAGAATTAGGATTTAATCATCAAGTTTATAGCATAGTAATTATCATCCACTTGTTTATAACATGAGACATAAGATAGACTCTATTCTTGATAAGGGAAGCAACAGCTTATTGTTATATAAACATAAAATGCTCATATCTTTCAATGAAGTAGTAGAGTAAATCGAAAATAAAAATCAAATCCATTATCAAGTAAAATTTATCAACATCAGGTAATTCTACAGTCATAAACTTCAAATGATTCTTCCATAATTTTTTGTTCATCATCAAAACAACATAGACTGCTAAAGCCAACAAATTAAGGAGTTGATAAAATATGGAATTCAACAATATTATTTTTGTCCTGATGAGAGTAGACTAATCCATATTAATCTATCTTGACAAGTTGGCTTACATAAACTATACAAAGTTGAGCATAAGTAGAAGACTTGCATGAGAACTACGAAAACAACCAGATCATCCTCAACCACCACCCCCATGGGACCAACACTATCCTATTTTCAACTGATCGAGGGATGGGTAATTTGGGAGATGCAATTTAAGTCTCAACACTATAAGACCAGCACGATAATATCAAAGTTGGATAGAATTGGGCCTCTAGGAAGTGGAGTTTCATATAGTATTCCATGGTTGATGGTTATATGTATGACGAATTGACAAGTAGTGATGGGTGAATGAGAAGGACATATGATTAGTTTAGAGGAAGATGATGCGAGGAACGCATTAGGGGATGTAAAAGGGGATGTGTGGTTTATAAAAGATGGTACGACAAGAATAGCTGAGATGATCACTATGGAAATGAACACATTGATAAGCCTTATTATAACCACAACCAAAAATACATAATATAGATTGATCATATAAACTTAGACATCCTTAGATGATTAGAGGGGTGGTTTCTTTGGATTATATATAACAAATTTTCAAATAAAATTTTCTAGAATTGTAGGATGCATAGAAAGTATTGCTGCACATTTCACCTCATCAAGAGAAGTATTGTTGAGGGTTCTTTGCATGTCTTTACGATATGGGATAGTCAGTGACTATGGGGACCTATTATGAACTAAAGAAAAGAAATTATTTTACTAACCTCTTTCAAGTTGGCCAAATGGATCAGATTAACCTCTTGGCATCATAATCACTTTAGAGACAGATAGATAAATAGATAGATTTATTGATTGATTGATTGATTTACTGATAGATAGAGAGGGAGAATCATAGAGAGGTAGAGAGAGAGAGAGAGAGAGAAGGAGAGGGAGAGGGAGGGAGGGAGGGAGGGAGCGAGAGAGAGAGAGAGAGAGAGAGAGAGAGAGAGAGAGAGAGAGAGAGAGAGAGAGAAGGAGGGAGAGAGAGAGAGAGAACAGGAGTTGAAGTCATATAGATTTATTTTGGTTTGTCCATGTGATGGGCGTACACCAATCCATAGAATAAAGTATTTCGAAGCCTATTAAAGTCAAGCGTCAAGATATCTAGGGAGAATTAGAAAAAAAGCGAAGACAAACTTTATCCATTTTTTTTTAAAGTTCTTTATCTTCACTTTGTTCAATGTCTGATAGTTGACACAACTTGTGTGGGTCATCCTTCTGAAAAAGGATGAGAAACCATAGGACACCTAGGATGGCATGTACACGCCTCTACAGCTTCTTCAACCAACCCCATCTTGTAGGGCATGGCCATTGGTAGGAGCACCTCCAGAAAGAGCTCAATCTCATGATTCACTGTTTGGTCGAAATAGTGAAGATTATGAAAACATCTTTATAATTTCTCTAGCATATTCTTGCAACTTGAGGTAGGAGTCTCCTTAGTGTGTTTGGCTCTCTTAAATACGCCCATGTTCACAACCGTAGCACACACACACTGCCTTGATGGTATGCTATGAGTGAACCTCTACTTGTCCCCTCCGTAACATGCACCATATGCACACTTTCCTTATTGCACCATACATGTTCCTACCATCGTGCATCCACCTGTCCATGAAGTAGTGACAGGTGCCGTGTGCCTATCTGCCCATGCTAGTCTTACCTCCTCATTGGGGACCAATGAACATCTTCTCATATTTTCTCAATGAAGTGAATACATCATTTGCATTCCCTTCTTAGTGCCCTTTGGGATCTAAGTCCTCCATCTGTGGCATCATAAATGTTACAGCTATGTATCTAGGTTTGACCTATAGTTGGGCTTCACACATGGGATTAGTTAATGCACTTGCTTCCTAGTTGATAACCTTGATTTATATGTCATTTTATGATAATGTCGTCTAATTATGATGGCTTTTTTGGGAGAAATTTGTGCGATTTTCACTATCAGCCATCACCATTGATAGTTTTCTATCAATGGTGACATCTAAGTAGATGAACCCTCATTCAGGCACGTTGTTGGCCTCCTTTTGCCATTTTACTATACTAAAAAACTGAAGGGGTTCAGCATTAACCCCTCCCCAGTAACTCATGCACTGCTATGGCACCTGACACACCCTTGTTGGTGTCAAAAGGGCAGTCCATGCAATTGGGTCCTATGTTCATAAGAACCCTGTTTAGGTAAGTTGTTGGCAGAGGCAACATCAGCCAATTTCGGTCTACCTTGATCTTTATCTAGCTATTGACTGCGGTTGCTACCATGGTAGCCTTGCTCACTACAATGGTGAGTTGACTATGTCCATTGCTGTCCCATCATTTAAGGCCTGCATCAGGGTTGGCAACATTGATGCCTTTGTCGTTCAATATGGTATTGGCCACGACTATGACCAATCACATTCTCTTGCTCTCTAGCATTGTAACTCAGCCTTTGACTTGCCACAAAGTGGACAATTTTTCATTGTCTACCATATTGTTGACACCTAATTGTAATGAAGTAAAGTGCTTCAGATACTCTGTGATAGAATCTATGTGCTCTAGTTAGCAAAGCACTTCACATGTCATCCACACTATGTGTCGAGAGAAACTACTCCTTTGGTTCCTTTACGAACACCTACCACATCTCAATGGGGGATCAGGCCTGATCCTCCATACATCTGTCACCACAGCTTTGTGTCGCCAGAAAAGGATATGCTTGAACGTGTTACCTTCTCCAATTTGGTGGTATGCACCACACAAAGATAGTTGTCATGCTCTCATATGAAGTTTGTTTGAGTCATGATACTCACTATTTATGTACCCAATAGGTAGCCCTTAAGTGTAATGTCTATCATTTTTGTCATCACACTCACATAGCTCCTCAGCATCATTTCTGTATGCCCATCAAAATATTAATGCAGTCTACTGCTTTGAACACAACTGCTTATAAGGGTTTTAGCTACTCCACAATCGAAAAATGGGTCTTTGAGACCTCTACACATTGAATTTCATATGACACATGTGGCCAAGAGGCCCCAAATTTTATTTCTCTTAAAAAGGGGTGAATTATGAATATTCTAGTTTTGTTTCTCTTTTAAACCTTGATGTGGCTATAGAATCTAGTGGGGATATACAATATTTCACACACTTTTATAGTTGCTCAATCACTTGACCTACATCCACACTCCATTGACTCTTTCGTTGGATTTTACTCAACTCTTAGTAAAATGCATACTTAATTACATGCTTCAATCACCTTCAATTAGAAAACTCCAAATAATTATCTTACCCAACAATTCTCTTTTAGATTCAAAATTTTAGGAGGTTAAATCAGAGGAGAACCAATTTCTCTTTTCTAGATTGAAAGATTTGTAGCTCCAGCAAGATTATTCACATCTAATTTCCTCTAGATGAGCCTTGAGTGCAAAATCACCCTCAACATAAGAGTTGAGCATGTTATTTTTCTAGATGCTTTGATTTTGTTGACATAGAAATTCAGCATTGTGGACACCTTCAAGCTTAAGCAGCGACAAATATTGTATGCCTTTAGGTGGTCAAAGACAAGACAATCTTGCTTGGACTCTTTGGAGGAAGGCGGTGGTCGTGGTTCTCTTCTTTCTAAATTTTTTCTTCCATTCACACTCTTAGCTTACAAGGCTGGAAGTCCTTATTTTT